ATGCCTACAGCTCTTTGTAGCAATCTAGTGGTGTGAGGGACTCAGAGAAAATATAGTTAACTATCTTGTTAATGAGTTTCTGCCAAGGACAACGTTGGGTGGGTGCGCACCGGCAAGTCTGAGCCAGTCTGCCCCTTGGGACCGTTTCAAGGCCATCACACGGCCGGTTTCTGTCAACCTCCGTACTTGGGGTCAATTCTGCCCGACGGATCCAAGGGCATCTGGGTGAACCTGGTAACTTGGGCATAGACAAGGGGACTGGTCAAGCTGGCCCTTGGGTATGGCGGGAAGTTTGGCAACAAGTAGGAGCGGCTATTTTAGGCGTGACCCTTGGCGGCCCCCTTATCTTGTTTTGCTTCGCACCAACATTTTGGCACAACCCGGAACCACAGAGTGGTTCGACACTCCAGCCTCCGTGCCGAGTCCTTTCTATATAACCTCAGCACTGCCAAACCATGGCTGCAGGTCAGGCGCTTCGTTTCAACTTGCGCCTCCCTGACCGACCGATAGAGCTCACGTGGGTCTCGGACCCCCTCTTACTGCCCGGGTCAGTCAAACATCACATTGCTAGAACTGACTTCACGACCTTCATAGCTTGGTTTGATGTACGCGAGACGGGCCAACGCCAGACCGTTGCTGCCGCCTTGGGCCCAAACTCTGGCTACTTCCAGGAGTACACGAGCTCAGCTCCTGGGGCTGCAGAGCAGCTTGACTACACGGCAGCCTTCATGGACCTCGTTGCCCATTCGAGCCTCCTGCCTTCGATCCGCGACCCCCTCCTTTTGCACGTCTACACCTCGGTCGCCATCACCGAATGACAAGTCGATCAGCTCCGCCTTCACCAGGTGCACACCAAGCATCATGGCACCGGACTCAAAGAATCCTGGTGGGCGTGCAAGTTCAGATCCGCCTCAGCAAGCCCGAAGGTGGCTTCACCACTAAGATCATCGATGGGACTCTTGGCGCCATCCACAAGGAACTTTGACACAAGAGGTCAAGCTTGCAACCAAGGCGGTTGCGGCCAGCCGCGCGGGCAAGTTGGGGAGTGGCGATTCCCAACCCCATTCAAGCGGCCCCTTGGGGAAGCAAAACAAGTGGCAGGGACAGCCTCAATTGGCGCGTCCACCTCTGGATACGTAGACGACTTCCCTTGTAACTGCAATCAGGGACGGCTTTAGATATGGTGGAGGATTGGAGCGCCATCGCACATTCTCCGCTGGATCCATTCAGGTGTTCCACTGCCATGAGTGCCACAGAGCTCTCCCCCGCCCTTTGACCTTGGTGAGTATCCGATCCATTTGGCGGAGGAGCGGGCGGGATAGGAGGCCCTCTGCAAGGAGTACTTGAGTATGGGGGCGAACTTACAGGTAGATCCCAATCCTAATTCTCGCATTTCTCGGGCCTTTCTGGTGGAAAAGGGGCGGGAGCACGGGGTGATGAAATACGGGTTTTGTGTCAATTTCTGCCAATCCCTACATACAGTAGGTTCTCAAGCCACCCATAAGTCTACTCCCATATGCACGCATTGGGACGGGGATGTCCCACCTCCCTGAGGGGGACGAATGTTATGCACTTAGGCCTCATGAGGGGGACGCCCTACTACGGTCTCCTAGTGTGGGGGATGCCTTGCCCCCAAGATATGGTAACAATACTGTAACCGAACTGTATATTATTATATGATATGGGAGTAGGCCGGGGTGGTCCCGCCTACGTCCCTATAAGGACCTATGTGGCCGGCAAGGCGTGTCTATGGCTTAAAGAGGGCAGGCATCCCACACCACTAAGGTTGTTGCATCAAGTGGGGAGGACTGCCGGGTCAACTCATCCATTTTTCAAGCCATTACACGGGAGTTTGGGGAGCGGACGGTTGACCATTTTGCTTCCTAATGGAATACCCGCTGCCCCAAGTTCAACTCGCGGCATCATGCGCCCCTCTCGGCAGGGGTAGATGCTTCCTTTAGAATTGGATGGGCGAGGCCAACTGGGCCAACCCGCCTTGGTTGCTTCTCCCGCGACTCACGGCATTCCTGATGGTGCATCGGGACGTGGAAGCGGTGGTCTTGGCCCCGGGTTGGCTGTCCGCCATGTGGTTCCCACAGCTCCATCGCCTCGCCTCATGGGAGATGGCCATTCCTCGTCGGCTGGGCATGTTCACACCGGGGGGACCTGTCGATTCCGGCCATCCTTCCTCCCCCTCAGTGAAATCTGCCGGCGTTTCGCATTCAATCGTGGAGTCAAAGCTCGATTCGGGGGTGGTGACGGCACATTCCCTCCCCCGGGATCGCCGGTCGCGAACCCACTACCAGTGGAGGTCGTGCCTACCAACCATCCCCTCTTCGGTTGTGACATAGACAGGCTTCCTTTGTCTGATTGGTCATGGATGCAAGCCCAATTCCTCTCGTTCTACATGGAGTCTATGCGGAGGTCGATGCACACCAAGTTCTCCAAGTTTGCCTCCTTTTGCAAGGCGAACGACCTCATGGTGCTCCCCGCTCGACTTTCTTCGATCTACCACTACATCTGAGTTTTGCGGGAGGAGGGACGCATTGGGATCCGCAGCCTACCCCCAATAATTGGATGCGATTTCCATGGTGCACCAATCGATGGGACACATCGACTTCTCTGCTTTCAATTCCATCACCCGGAGGCTCACTAAGGCATGGCATTGGCAAGACCTGGAACCGGCCCATTTGCATCGCCCGGTTCCTACGCAATTGATGTGCGGCATCCTGGACTTCGGCTTGGCTATGGGGGACCTGCGCGTACTCTGCGTGGCTTGCTCTGCGACCCTAGATTTTCTTTTCTTCAACAGGGTGCAGAGCGGCCACCTCATTCTCCTTGAGGGCCTCCGCCTCAAGAATGGGCTACTTGTTTTTCACGAGCGGCGGACCAAGCTCAGTGCCAACACCAACCTGCGTGTGCGCTGCCGTGCCTGGCCATTCTGCGGCGTGCCGGCGGTGGTGGATCTTTTCCTATGATGGTCGGCTGCCCGCAACAAGGCATGGGCAAATGCTAGAGGCTCTCCTAGGCATTTTTATACCTTGCCGGGTGAGTCTGATCCGTTCGCATTGATCGTCTCCTGCTGGTTCCACGCCCTCCTGCATTCCCTCCCCTCGCTGCTGCTTGAAGACTTCGATCATGACGGCCTCCCCGCGTGTGGCGCCAGTGCTTGCTACCCCTTGGAGGTGCTGGAGGGGCGCATACGAGCATGGGAGCCATGGCGCAGTAACATCATGTGGAAGTACATTGACGTTTACCTACTACCAATGGAGTGGGACTACTGGCCATTTGGCTGGATGATGATTATTGCGCGGGACCTGCACGCACAGTACAGGCACTTCTTCTGCCCTGGAGGGGCGTCATTGCCCCGAGTGTGACCAAGGCATGAACACGCCTTAGCTCCGGAGGAGCTGCACCGTGCCCCCAGTGTGAGTGGGCACTTTTCAAGTGGGTTGCCGATCGGGTCTTGGACTATTGAGGTGATGGACACCAAACTGTGAGAGTGTAATGTCTTGTCGTGTGGGGAACGCGGGGCCAGCGGAGACCGGTAAGGCAGAAACACAGAGAAATTGCAAAAGCCTGGTCCACAGCCACGCACCTTCTCACACACTTGGTCGGTGGCTGTAAGCCGTATTGCAAGACTGCGGTGCTATTCCTAATTGCCAATTGTGACTTGCGGCTGTGAACAGATCCTTAGTCGTTGTCCTGCGAGCTGGCACTGCACAAGCAGCGTGAGCAAGAATGCTCAAAGCAAAGAACCACCTGTTCCACACATTGGGAAACAGTTACCCTCCCTGGGTGCCAATACAGCGCTGACAACGGAAATGCCAGCTAACTCGGGTGGCATGAACCCAACCCGTGTTCTGAACGAAGTCGTGAGTCAGCAATTCCACTCACACACACGGATGTCACACTCACACCCAAACCCTGACGGGGCCCTTTGAGCCTGAGTCACGTAAGATCCTCATCAGTTTGCCAAGTCTCGCCTTTACATTATCGTCAAGCGACAATATATTGGACTGGCGGTTGGGAGAGAAAGAAAGAATAGTAGCCACTCTGTGGCCCCACCTTTGCATCTGTGCCGCCAACCAGTCAAGAGTACTGCCTGACGTCGTACTAATGTCCAAGGTCCGCCTGACCCGTGGACACCACACTCCAGTTCTGATTCACACCGTACCATAAGGTACTTACCTTTGGGCGTGGGCGCAGCCCCTCACGACGTGTGGCTGACTGAGTGCCGGCTTACCCTATTGGGTTTGGGGCGGCCAGGAAAACTCTAACGTCACACCTTGTAAAATGTTCCCACCCAACGGCCTGAAACCCAGTTAACATCAGTCACTAATGTTAACTCCGCAAATGCCAACCCTAGAATATTGAGAGCCAGCCATGCACCAGCACAGAAGCTCACTTCTTCTGGACGATTGACGCCTTCTCTGGGACCCACCACCCTTCAATAAACTCATCCAACAAGTTAACGTCTACAGGTGCCGCTCTTCTCTGCAGCTCGACCACCAGCAGATGATCGTCTCCCAGACTGATGGCCAAAGTCTCCATAACGTCCAATTTTTGTGCAACTCCCTCCAATCATCGTTGCAGAAGTCACCCGAATCCAAATCATCCAGGCACCTGGAGCAATTGCACCAGAAGGATTCTTGAACCAGCCAATCTCTTGTGCTCCAGACACCAGCCGCTCAACAATGCCAACTACAAATCAGGAAAAGAGGAAAGCTTATGTCCTGTCATACTGCAGCTGGCTCTCAGCTCAAGCTGCTTGGTATACCCCTGTTGTAGTACAACAGCCACTTGCCAAGCGTGGCACCCTTTGGTAGGTGAACCACACTGCCAGCACAACTGTTCTGTGGTCAATGAAAGACCATGGATGCTACCCCACAAGGAGCTGTAATTTGCAGTAAATCGAGACATGTTGACCCGACTGGTACCACATACAACCTGTACAGGGGGCAGTCCTGGGGTAAAGTAGGTCGGCACTGTGTCAAGATTCAGGGACATGTCCCTATTATGTCACCTACAACATCTAATTTCAACCTTACTATTGATAAGCTGGTGCAGAGCAGTGTCGAGAGATATATGAACAAGTTGCAGCAAGTCTCAGCAGTAGAATGCTTTGTTAGTTCAATTCCGATTCTGCAAAAAGCTCCAGCAATTGCAATATTCAGCTCCTCCATCTCCCTTACACTCAGTGCCTTACCCCACACTGGTTGATAGATATATGAGATGACAATTTCATCCATCGGGTCATGGTTTGACTGCCAATTTTTCTGGCCAAACCTACCCCTCGGGAGCCACTTGAACGAGTACCCAAGCACCAATGTGTCCTTTGATGCTCTTTGTGAATTCCTCGTGACAAATGGGGTAGCTTGTCTGTGCATCTGGGCCAGCCAGCTGGCCCTTTGTCCCATGAAATCTGTATCAACGTCCTTGGCATCCATTGCGGCATTTGTACCCTGTGGAGCTTCCACTACCGCAGTAGGTCCTGCCCCAAAGACTGCGTCCTTGGGTGGCTGAGCAGCATGTGCTTCTTCCTTCATTCACCTTGGCACAGTCCCTGAACTTCCTCTGGGACATGCCACGGTGCAATGGCGCCACCCTAGACAGGTGCAGGAGCTGGACTCCCTACAGCTACACCAGCTCCTGTGTCGCTGCTCTCTGGCTGTTGTTACCTCACCTGATCACAGGTGACCATTTGCTTCTTCATGCTTGCCCAAGAGGCTTTGTCAGCGATGGCATCAGCTTTCACCAGGCAGCCAGAAATCTTGAGAGGTCAGTTCTTCACAGAAGTCCGCAGGTGAATCAAAATCATCAGCAGGCCTGGGGAGATTGCAACAGGAGAAGTCTTGAACCATTCACCGCCCTGTGTCCTGGACACCAGAAGTTCACAGATACCAACAACAAGTCAGGCAAAGCACAAAATTAGTGTCCTGTCACATCGCTGCTGACTCCCAACTCAAGCTACTTGGCAAAGTACCCTGCCAAAGCAGCCACTCCCCAAGTACGGCGTCCTTTGGTAGGAGAACCACAATCCCAGCAGAACTGCTCTTTGGTGGACAAAGGACCATGGATACCACCACAGGGAGCTGCAGTTTGCTGTGAATCGCGTACAGGTAGACCCGGCTAGTGCCACAGACAAAGCTGTGCAGGCAACTGGACAGCTCTGCATGCATTCTAGTACTGCTTCAAGATCCAGGGGTGAGTCCCCATCTACTCAACCTCACTATTGATGAGCTGGTACAGGGTGGTGCCCAAAGATATTCACACAAGTCTCAACAAAGTCTCACCTGTTGGAAATATTTTGTGGTGTCAATTGCCATTTCTGAGCACAACTCTTGACTGTGGCTTCTGGCCACACCTGCCCGTGGGGAGGCACTTAAACAAGCACCCCAGCATTGATGAGCCCTTGGCAGCTCTTTGTGATTTCCTTGCAACATACGGGGTACCCTGTGCAGCATCTGGACCAGCCCCTGCAGCATTCAGTGGGGCCTTTGCCCCACATGGTAAGTCCCCCATGAAATGTGGAGCAACCTCTTTGGCATCCAGTGTGGCATTAATCCCCTGGGAGGCCATTGCAGCTGGTGGTGCCTCAATGTCTGCGTCCTTGGGTGGCTGTGCGACACTTGCTTCCTCCTTCATCGTGGCAGAACTGCATATTGCTGCACTAAACACCTTCGATGGTGCAATAGTGTCATCCCTGAAAGGTGCAGGGAATGGACCCAATATGGTGGTACAAGCACCTGTGTCACTGCTCCCCAGTTGTTGATACCTTAACCGAACCTCATCAGGAGAGACTGTCGGCTTGGAAAATAGGGCCTTCTTCAATGGTGGCCACCTGGCTCTGGCAGCGCTGGCATCACCTTGAACCAGGCAGCCACAAAACTTGAGAAACCATCAACAGCACTACACCATCTGCAAAACTAGGCTTTTCATCATTGTTGATTGCTTCAATGTGATAAAATCGCCCACCGCTAGTCAACTTGCAAGCAACAGAAACAGTTTGGCCTATTCAGCAGCATACCACGTAGTGCCAACGGAAGCGGATGCGCCTTTCCAAGCTTCGCCTCGATTGCTGGAACCAGATCAAAGCCACCTGCCTTCCCCCGTGCCTGCAGCTCTTTGTAGTACTCCAGCGGCACATGGAACTCATCTGGCACCCTGATCAGCACAAAGACAGTGGACTGGAATCGCATGGCTTTCTATGGCCATGTTCACAGGCACAGACTTGTCGCACACTCGATCAGGGGAGAAACGCTGCATTTGCACTGTAGGTTCATCATCCCTACAGAATAGTTGCTATTGTGACTTTCAGTATTGTACCAAAGCTCCATGATCGCTGTGAGCTGGCACCACACAAGCAGCATAATCAAAATGTGCAAAGCAGAGGGCAGTCTGTTAGACACATTGAGGCACAGGCGACAACAGGAATGCCAGCGGGAGAAGGCTGCAAGTCAACTACATAGCAGCACAGAAACTCACTTCTCGTAGACGACTGCTGCCTTCTCTGGGCCCAACTGGTCCTTGATGAAATCATCTAATAAATCGACATCCTCAAGTGCCTCCCTTCTTCGCAGCTCTACCACCAGTGGATGTTCGTCTCCCAGTCTGTCGGCCAAATATTCTGTGATGTCCACATCTTGTGCATCTCCTTCCAATCTGTCACTCAGGTCCTCGTAGAAGTCTGCAGGTGAGTCGAAATCACCAAGAGACCTGGGGTGATTGCACAAGAAGAACTTTTGAACCAGTGAGCATCGTGTGCACTGGATGCCAGTTGTGCAGGGATGCCAACAACAAATCAGGCAATGCACTAAATCTATGTCCTGTCACACAGGCTGCTGGCTCCTAACTCAGCAACTTGGCACATGCCCCTGCTAAAACAGCCACTTCCCAACCATGGCATTTTTGGGGGAAGTCCCAAAATCCCAGCAGATCTGTTCTTTGGTGGACAGAGGACCTTGGATACTGCCACAGGGAGCTGCAGCTTGCTGTGAATTGCAAATAGATGGAACCCAATCGGCGCCACATACAAGTTGTGCAGCACCTGTCCAACTCTGCATGCATTAGGGCAAAGTATTCTTGCACCGCTCCAAGGTCCAGGAGGGCATGTGGCCATCACGTCGACCCAATGCCTCCATTTCAGCCTCACCAATGACAAGTCAGTGCAGTGCGGTGGCCAAAGACATTCGCACACAAGTCTCAAACAAGTCCCACCTGTTGAAGTACTTTGTCGGGTCAAATCCCACTTCTTTAATAAGCTCTTCAACTTCATCGTTCAGTTCCTCCACTTTGCCTTTTGCCAACTTTTGACCCCACACCGGCAGACTCTTATGTGCCACAACCACATCATCACTCGAGGGGCCATGGCCTTTGCCCACCAAGGCCCGAAGCTTGGACAAGATCCCCCACTTTGGCCTGCCATGCACCTTTCTTGATGACTCCCTTGCAGGGTGCGAGGCACCCTGTGCAGCATCTCGGCCATCATTCGCAGCATCCTTCACACCACAAGCTTTCCTCATCCATGTGAACGACATCGGGATTCGTTTGTCGAAGTCATGTAGATGACAGCCCCATATTTAGCAAAGCAACATACCAGATCCACCTTCTGGAGCTAGGGAGTGGTTGCCACAACTTCCAATGTGTCCGCTGTGCCTTCTGGAAAAACAGATTTACAGGCCCTCAAAAATTCACACACACAAGTACTTCCTCTGCCTGGAAATAAGCGAAACTGTGTGTTTGAGATGCCACACTTGTATCTAATATTCGTCTGACTTGAAAATCAGATAAATACCTGCAAGTTTAGTAAATGTCCTCAGATTCCTGTACATAACAGATGTGTTGTGTAGATCTTGTTGCAGGATTCTCAACAGGCGCGTCTCATTCCAGAGGGACGAAAAAATGTCACCCACACATGCAGGAACCCAAATACAGCTTCCTGACCAGGTCACCCTGAAACCGATGGCCTAGGTCACAGAGTGGATAAACACCCACTGATAATGGCAGACATTGCTTGCAGGGGTCTTTGTGAATAATGGAAGGATGAATGGTCAGTCTGTCTGTCTGTCTGTTAGTATGTGAACTGATCGTCCATCTGCAAATAAGCATCACTGGGAATTTCGGGTCTGTATGTGACAATCCATCCAAGACATTGCTTACACAATTTTTCGGTGTTCGCAAAAACGCACAACTGTGGCGACGTCATACATCCATGTTCAGCAACATCTGGATGTGTGAGTGCACTCAAGCGTGACCAGGAGGAGAGGTGCTTGTCATTTGGGCATGATGCTGGGTCCTTCGCGCAGTGACCATGGCCCTCACTCCCACTGATGGCCCTTGTCCCCAACTTACTTTCCTGCAAGGGCTCAGACCAAGCCACAAAGCACAAAAGGAGTACAGGCACAGACATCTGCCATTGTGTCCATGACCTGCATTGCCTGCTTTCGAGCCTTGCGAGTACTAGTTTTATGTCAGTATCTGTGTCTTTTGTCAACCAGCTGCAAGGACCCCATCCGCAAGAAATAACAAAGAGATAGCAGTGTCCGTCTGCATCCATGCATTATCTCATTCGCAGATGCTAATTCCCAGAAATGTGCTCCATCAGTGCAGCTGTGAACAGATGCAGAGCCCCTGCCAACATGGGTGGGCATGGACGGCTTGTCAAGTCTAAATGTCCACAAGGCGTCTGCATCTTTAGGCTGACAGCATCAGTGCTTCAGCAGTTATTTGGTGCCACAGGCAGCAGGGTGCAGCAAATAGGCTATCAGCATCGTCAGCACATCCATGCGTCAGCAAGTGATGGGTGCCAGGACTGCAATGCCAACGATCAACTGCAGAGGCACTGACCAAAACGGGGTGACAGCCCATCCCCAGAACCCCCCCCCCCTCCCTTGTATCCAAACTGAGATGTTTCTTGCAGTGATTTGGTGCCAAGCGATGTCAATGGACAAACCAACAGGAGAAGATGTCAGTGAGGATTTTCTATGAAGCCCACAGGGCCAGCATTTTCACCACACAGCCGGCGAGGCAATGCTGGCGCTGATGGGTTGATGCCCAAGGTAGGACAATGCTGAAAGGCTGAAACGCTGATGTGTCAATATCTTTTGGCCCATGTTATGCAAGTTTGGGACCCTTATGTTCCATGCTAAGTTTCACAAGCTAAGCATGACTGGGTTATCTTTACAGACCAAGCCACTTTCAAAACAAAGTTTCCACCAAACCAAAGTGTAAAAGTGCTGGCGGTGCCATGCAATCAAAAAAGTTCCCAATTTAGCCAACCTCGCAACCGCAGTTTCCCCAAAATCAGAAAATTGTATAAATGGGTCTGTCCACACCTCATCTTCCAAACTGTGCTCCCTCAAAGCATGTGGTGATTCCTCAGATTCTGTTGAATTGAATGCAAGTTCTTGGAGCTGGTTCTGCAGTTGCTCCAACTGCGCACGATCCCTCCTGTTTGCTGCCTGAAGATGGTCAGAACTGCCCTGCCAGCACAAACAATAACTGAGTTAGGATAGGTTATGTCCCAGCAGTAGTATGAAAATGCACTGGGTGCACACTGAATAATAGCTGTGGATCGTTCTTTTCCTGCACCATCTGCTCACAGAGAAAAGAGAGAACCTGCTTTGAAAGCTTTTGTATTTGACTTATAAAACATTGGTATGGCATTTACATCGCTCACACATCTGAATTCGATGCTAGTGAGCATGTTTATACCGCTTCAGGACAAGAGACCGCACACTGGGATCACCATCAAATTCAGCTGTTGTCCGGTACTGGTAAACAAATGGTTGAATAGCAAACTGGTCGCATTGTCAGATCAAGCAACCAAAAACTGATAGCACAAGCTCAACATGTCTTCATGGGCATATTTCATCATACCAGCTCCAAGCTCATATCCATACTTCACCTCACTGAGACTCTGAGAAGAAGGGAGCCAATTCGCTGGCAGCCTCCGCAGATATTTCGAAACTGTCTTCATGGTTGGCCGCTTTGCAGGATCAAGGGAGCAACATCGCCTCAGGAGCCCCCTCATATCCTTGGGACAATCATTTGGCCCAACTGTGCATGGCTCCTGGTTCTTCAGCTTCTTGTTCATGACGGCAGCAGCCTTTACATACTGGTCCAGCTTGTCTGCTCCATATGGGTGTGCTCCTGTCACAACTTCATACATAGTGACCCCAAAGCTGAAGACATCCGACGAGGTGGTGATGGGCTTCTCGTCGTATACTTCTGGAGCCATCCATTCTAGCGTGCCTCCTCCGGGCCTTGCAGACTTGCTTCTGCCATCGAGCACCTCAAAGGCAAGGCCAAAGTCAGTGACTTTTAAGCGGTAGGTGCTTGGCTCCTTCCCAAATATGAGGAAGTTGGAAGTCTTCACATCAGCATGAACGATTGGAGGGGCCAGGGAGTGCAGGAAGCTCAAACATTTTGCTGCTTGCCGGAGGAGCTTGAGTATGTTACGCCAATCAAGTCTCTGCTTGCCGTGGCATATGGCCCCCAAATCTGTATCTGCAGCTTCCATCACCAGCCAACCGGATGGTGTTGTTGCATACATTTGGGCTATGTAGGGATGGTGCAGCATAGCATGCACCAAAACTTCCTTGATGAAGTTTGCAAACTCCTCAATGGGCAAGTCACCTTCCCTGATTGGTGTCTTCACAGCCACTGCTGCTGAGTTCCATTCTGCCTCGTACACAATGCCAAACCCACCCTTGCCTATCTGTCTCTTAAGCACCAGCATGTCTTCCCCAATGATGTGCAAGTTTCCCATTTTCTCCTCATGTCTTTGTTTGATGGGGAGCCATTGCAGAAGCAACTCATCGTTGATGCCGCTTTCTGCACCTTTGAGGACGTACGCAAGGAGTTTGTGCAGATGCTCTCTATCTTCTTCCACTGAATCCTCGGGCACGCAGCCCTCCAGCTCCAAATCGCCGTCCACCTGCCATTCCTGTATTTGTGCTTTCAAATACTCGCAGATGCAATCAACAGTGTTGCGCACAACCTCGCCTGTGTAGAAAGTGCTGGTGTTGAAGGGTTGTGCGTGTTTGGCCAGGAGCCTGCGCCCCTTTTCAACAGCCCTATTGAAATAGTTCCATTCTTTTGCCGATGCAGTTTCCGGTTTCTTCAGCTTGTTTACTCTGTCCAGTTGGACTTTCAAGAATGACATCATTCTGTGATTGTACTGCAGCTCCTGCATCCTGTCCTCTGTCATTTCACAACATGCCACACAACAAGAAAAATCGTAAGAAACTCAACATCTCCAAACTCCATTCATGCCTAGCAAAGGGACAGAGGGGAGGTGTCTCAGTTTGTACATTTCATGCAAAACACAAAGGTGTTGCATTTCCAAGTGTGTCCCGGTGCACTGCGCCCACACCCCCTCACCCACCAGGTGATGATACGATCCAGCAGGCACAACAAAAATGAAAAATTGGAGAAATCAGTACATCACGGCCATGCCCTGTGCTTGCCGTGACAGCCCTTGGCGCGTGGCATCGTGACACGCGCTGCAGGGCGTCAGCTTGGCTTCGGGTTGGGATCCGGAGGTCGAGCACCCCTCTTTGGCATCATCCTTTTGGCTTGCGTCCTCTCTATGGCTGTGGACAATGTTCCGCGGCCTCGGAGACACGTCCGACAGGAATTGAAAACCCTGTTCGGCGATCGCCGGCCTCTGCGGCATCCAATCCAGGGCCGCCCTGGTCCTCATTATGATCATGCGGCAATGGATAATCAGACGCGCAGGGGGATGCTGGGGCCCTCGAATTCGCCAACCAGGACACGCAACTGCTTGGCCTGCGCGGGGGGCTGTCCGCGATCGACGCACACAGGAAAATTTTCCCCCTCCTCCCCCCACACACACCCAGCCCCCCTAACCCCCGAAGACGCTTCAGCCCTGCAGATTTGCTCACCTTTTCCGCCTCGGCACAACTTCACAACGATTTCAGAGCACGCACCGGGTGCGAAGCCGCGACCCGTTGACCCGCGGTGGAGTCCCCCCCCCGCGGGAGACCTGCAAAGCCACTGCCACCAAAAACCAATGCACCTCAATGCAGGGGCCCGGGAAGCGTTCCACGGCCCCCACGCCTTCCCAGCGGACTGGACAACATCATGATCTCCCAGGTGAAAAAGTGACCACCCATACACCCTACTCCCCACACAGCCACTACAAGGTTCAGATGCCCACTGTTCGCCGCGCCCAACCTCTCCACATCCGCCCCAACCACGGTTGGGATCAACCAGTACGAACACCAGACCGACGTGCCATGATTGAACGCAGTCCCGAACCGTCCGCCTCTTGGGCAGCGTTGGGAAAGGGTGCGTCCGACACACTGAGTGGCTCACCACTGCCCCGGTCGAGATGACTCCTGCGGCTGACAGCACACAGATAGCTTCAAGCAGGACCCCCCCAGGAGAGCCCTTTGGCAGCCGAGCTGGCCGCAACTGCTCTGCAGATGGGCCCGCGGCACCCTCGAGGCGAAGACAGCAGACTGGAAGTGACGAGGTGTGATTGGGTTTTCCGCATGGCGAGCTTCACCCGCGCGTCCATAACATAAGGATCCTGTGCGTCAACCCGGGGAGATTGAGGAATTCGCACCGCGCATATTTAACTCCGAAGTCAACCAATCAGTCGTCGAATGGCAGCCTGCGACTAGCCCTGCGACCAGCACCGGGCTTTGCTGCACCTTCCTCCTCATAATGGCAGCAATTTGAAGAAGATGATCGAAGAATGGCACAGGAAGTCGGGTAGAAACAGCACTGGTCACATCAGGATGTAATGACGGTCATTGAAGGCATTTGCAGCGGTTGTACTCCACGTGCTTGACCAACAAAGCCATCAGCATGTTTTTCGCAGTACTCCCGTGCATTGGCTGCATTCGCGATCAAAAAACAGGCAGCAGAACACTTCCCACCGTACTCGCAGTAGTACTTTGTGGTGTTTAGTGGAAAATTGGGCAGAAAACTGCTGCCTTCGGAACACACGATTTGCTGACCCAACGTGGGTTAATTCGCTTACTCAATGCTCTAGTATTAGTCAATCATATACATCAGGGCATGGCAGCCCCTGACCTACTGTCCACTATTACTAAACTCCACAGAAACATAGTTTTACCACAATTTTAAACATATTCATGCAAACTGCCAGAATTCCACAGAATAAATCTGTCGGTGTGAGTACATCCACAAATCTGGTAGGCATTGATACAGCATTGACAGGCCATCGCCTAAACGTTGCTCTACAGACACGAGCTCTGAAGATTCGCGTTGATCCAATGGATGGTGCATAAAACCTGCCAATTTTCTGGATGCATCTCCGGGCTGATAAATGGATCGTTGATGCACCATTGCTGGAACACTGCTTCTCTGGGAATGTTGCATCAAGATGCCTTGTTGGAGAGTTGACAAACACCGATGCCAAGAGCCATTGTTTCAAGGGCAGTTCACCAACATTGACAGCCATTTTTTCAATGGCCCCTTTGCATCAGCACTCATCGACATTGAATCAACGCCTACTAAGTTTCCACATGTAGCTCAAACCAAGATGGACCAATTTGATACTCACACACTCCCACCCTGCAATCAGAAAACTTCCACGGTCTCTCCCACCGTGGGAAAGCGCAACATTCTTTCATGTAAGCACCTACTATGCAGTTTCCATGCACACATAACTAAACACAGCCTAAATTACTTACATGTACTACAGGTTACAGCCTGCATGCGGTAATTCACATTCTGCGGTTGGATAGACCCGTGGCAGGTACCGACCCTGCCCTTTGTCATGTGTATTTATGCACAGCCTCACTTACCTTCTACTCCGGGTCAGACAGAATTGACCTTCAGTGAATCCCCAGCAACCAAGGCGTTAGTCCCCATCTGGCACGAACAGTCCATGCACACAAATCGGTAGCAAAAAGGTAATAAAGTTCCTGTAAACTGGTGCTCGTTACAAGGCTGTGCTCGACAAAAGGCACCGTCCTAGACTGACAATAACCCCTTTATACCCGTGCTCGGGTCTCTCTATATCTCCCTCTTCCCGGTCTGTCACACCGTTTCTCTGGCGGAATTACACTAAGAAGCCATTATCTCACACACCGATCACAACCTACCCCTTACACTGCCAACTGCTCCATTAGACAGCACAATTACTCTTCGGAGATCGCGCCCGTTTCCTCTCTGCGCCACCCCCCGCGGCGTCCTCACTCCGCCCTCACTTGACTTTAATCCCCCCTGTTGTAGGCCCAAGGCTCGTCTTCCATGTACTATTGGAAGAAAATCTCTTCGCCATATGTTGTGCGAGCTTCGCTCTTAAGTTTTTTAGCATCCCACTTGGCCCTCTCCTCGATGCTCCTTATCCACTCCTTCAGACGCTGCCTAGCATAGAATGATTCAATGAGGTACTGCTCCATGGGGATGTTCGCGGTCATGTCATTGCAGAACGTGTCGATGGCGTATCGGCACTCCACTGTCTCTGCATACCCCTTGGGTGCTTGCCCAATATACTTTGGGGGCGGAGGAGCTGCGTTCTGTGGGGGCACTTTGGGGATTGACGGTCCCGTTCTCTGGGCTGTCCCAATCTTTGCTCCCATGGGCGCCTTGGTTGTTTGCAGGTCGGGTCGTCCTGATGTTCTAGTTCCTGTGGCCTGTGTACCTTGAGAAGTCTCCCCTGGTTTGTGGGCCTCACGGGACTGATGGTTTGGGCCGTTGGGTCCCGCTGGTGATCGTTTCGATTCTTCTCCTGTGGGTTGGGGAGGGCGCTTAGGGGCGCCCGGGGGTTTCCTCGTTGGCGCTGGTTTGTGGGCACCGGTAATCACATCTTCCATGAGAATCGACTCATTAAACTCCAAAACGTCGCAATTCGCCATCTAGCGTCGTTTCTGGGGCTCGTACGGTCTGTCCTCCGCGGCGCTCTTCATGTAAACCTCTTCGTTTGACATGTAAACCCCATCCACTGAGCCTCGATGTGATTCAGCGTCCCCATTTTTGTCCTTGATTTCCATGAAGTAATGTCCTGTCTCTGCGTCATCTCCCTGATCAAATTCGTCCCACGATTGCCCATGATTGATCTAGGCGTATGGTCCCTCGTCCGACATGGATTCGCATCCTGACGATTCCTCGTCCGTGTGGGTGTCTGCCCGTCCACCGCTTGGCTGGTCGCTGGCGCGGTAGGGGGTCAATTCCATCAGGTACTGCTGGCCTTCCTGATCCGAGTGCGATCCGTCAGCGCCTTCCTCGGGTCGCTCCTGCCATGGCATGCGCGGTGGGGTGAGTTCCACCACCTCGAAGTCCGCTTCAAAGTACTGGGCGTCATCCGGCTGATCTCTGCGGAAAGGGGTCGGGGACAAGGTGGCTCATCATGCCTAAATAGTGGTACCTCCGTTCGAACTGCTGCTGAGCTCGTTCGAAGTGCTGGTGCCGTGGCCGATCCGGAGCAGTTTCAGGAAGCGCCTTCCGTGGCGGCTTCCATCCTGTCTTGTTGTCGAGGTTGTCGATTTTCTTTCCTTTATTCAATGAGTCTGGACCGGAAGTGACGTTCCCGGAGGATCGTTTCTCTAGCAGCTGCAGGTCGTCGTGCACACGGGCCGCGTCCTCTAATGCTGCTGCCAGTTCTTCCAGTGTGCACGGATTGGTGCGTCGTATATCCTCGCGGATCTTTGAGGTCCGAAATCCTTCCACGATCTTTGTAAACAATAGCTCCTGATCCTGACCATCACTGAGGTGGCAACAGGCTACTGCCTGGTCCAGGTATTCTATGCCAGTCTCATTTTCTCCTTGGAAAAGGATTCAGCACCTGTCGAAGTAGTACTGCTCTGGAGGGCACAAACCGCTTACAGAGTTCTTCCCGAAATGCTTCCCAAGAATCGGGATCCCTGCTCATATAATTCGCCTCAAACAAACCCCTGGCTCCAGCTTTTAGCCCAGCCGTAGCGTGATGGATGAGCGTTTCTTCATCCACACCATCAGCCTTTCGAATCCTTTCAAGCTCTTTGCAGTACATTCTCACGTTCGTTCCTTTTTTGCCATCAAACGCAGGAAGCCTTACATCCCTGGGCAGGGTGGATCTCTCCGCAGTGGGGTGTGGAGCAGGTCCATTTGTTGCAAGCTGTATCGCGGGCTGCAGCGAAGGGGTTTTGCATATCAGGGTTGAGTTTGTTGGGAGTACTTGGCCTGTTTCTATTGCCGCACGTGGGTATCTCCAATGACGCCGCAGCCTTGTTCCCGTCAGAAGTCCAACTGGTGGTCGAATGACGCCTTGGCCCCCTGTCGACCCCCACATTTGTACACTAGGAAAAAAGGGCCAAATAGCACTTTTGAGAACACACATAAAACACATTTCATCAAAGTTCTGCACGCTAAGAACACAAAAATAACACAAACCCGTAAACTTTGTACACGTTTGAAAACGCGTTATTTGGCACTTTTTTTCCTAGTGGCATGAACTCTGTCGTGCCACCCTGGGCATCCCACTTGCTGACGCATCCACGCTGTAGGGGGTGAGCGTTGGTGACCCCCCGGGATCATTGGTCCCCACGTTGGATCTACGGGTCTTGGTACTATCTGATACGGCCCCTTTATAACATAAAGTCCACCCATTAGGGGTGGGTGCACTCCAAATGCGGGTACGTCATCAGACCCCAGGCTATAGGGGTTGGGTCATTAGGCCCCTCCTGTCCAACGTAATGTCCCTCAGTCTGGTAGGATGGACTGTGGCACCTGACG